ACCCACTTTTTTAGTTCATGCTGTTATTTTTACTGTCCCAAAGTAATCACTATGATTAAAAATAGTTTTGAGTAGTCATAATTTGCTTAATCTGTATGTTTTTTAAATGTTTACTCGCTATTTCTTCTTGCATCTCACTATTTCCTTCTAGATTCAGTTTTCTTCTTAGGAACATGCTTCAAAAGTTTCCTGGGCAAAGGTCTATAGTGGTTAACTTCCTGTTTTTGTTTATCATCTGAAGAGGTCTTTAACTTGCTCTCCTTAAAGAATAGCAGCTTTGTTCAGTTCTAGTTGACATACCAGAATTCACCCTTTTCAAGTGTAGAATTCAGTGGTTTAGAGTATGTTTACAGAGTTTTGCAATGATCACCAGTGTCTAATTTTAGAACATTTTCATCATCTCAAAAAGAAACCCTATACCCATTAGCTGTCACTTCCTATTCATTCCTCTCTCCCTCCAGCCCCTGGCAAATACTACCCTCCTTTCTGTCTCTAGGGATTTGCCTATTCAGGACTGTTCGTATAAATGAAGTCATACCATATGTGTACTCTTCTCTCTGACTTCTTTCACTTGACATATTGTTTCCAAGGTTTACCCACATTGTAGCATGTATTAGCATTTCCTTTTTTATGGTTAAATAATATTTTGTTGTACCACATTTGTTTTTCCATCACCAGTTGATGAACATTTGAGCTGTTTCCCCTTTTTCTGGCATTTTTGAATAAAGCTGTTATGAACATTTGTGTAGAAGTTTTTGTGTGAACATATGTTTTCAATTCTCTTCCGTATATACTTAGGAGTCATATGGTAACTATGTTTAACTTTCTGAAAAACCGTAAAACTGTTTTTCACAGCAGCTGTACCATTTTAGGTTCCCAACAGCAACGTATAAGGGTTCAATTTTCTCCGCATCCTCACCAATGTTTTTTTAAAAACAAGGTAAATAGCAATCCTAGTGCATAGAAGGTGATATCTCATTTTGTATGTCCTATCTTGTGAGTTTGTTTTAATACAAACTGTAACATACCACACACACACTATATACTTGCTTTTTCCACTTAACAAGACATTGTAGAAAGCATGTTAGTATGTACAAGACTGCTTATTCTTTTGCTGCTTTATGGTAACCCATTGCATGAATGTGCAATCCTGGTACTTGTAGTTTACTTAACCAGTCCCCTACTGATAAGCTCCTCTGCTTTTTCCCAATCTTTCTCTATTAAACGGTGCTGCAATGTTTGCCTCTGCACACTCCATTCTTTGCAAGTAGGAGTCTGTCTGCAATGATCGATCATTCCCAGAAGTGAAATTCAAAGTTAAAGGGCATGTACACTCTTTTATTTTTATAGATAGTGACAAATTGATTTCCATAGTTCATTAAATGGACCCTAGATCCTAACATCAAATTGTGAAGATATTGTAATCTTAGTAATTCCTGGGTGACTATGGAATCACTTCTTTTGAGGGGCTTGGGGACAAGGACATGGCTCCTAAAGAGCTTTTTTTGGCAGGCAGTCCCCATGAAGGAGGGAGAACCTGAAGAGGTTTGTCTTGGGGACTTATCTACCCCTTCTTGGTGGAACAGCTCACTGAAGATGTTTAGTAAGATCATCATTTTTTCATTTATTTTTTTCAATCAACAAATATGTATTGAAAGTCTACTCTGTGGTGCTAGATGAAATTAAAATAAAACCAGACCTGATATGTCTCCCATTGACATTTTCAGGCTTTTGAGGAGATGCAGACATTAACATGATACAACTAAAGGTAAGATAACAAACATGGAGGGAAATGTACACGCTACTGTAGCCTGTAACAAGGGGCTGAGAGTCAGAAAAGGATTCCCAGGGGAAACTTGTTTTAATTGAGATATGAAAGATGAGTACAAGACTAGATGAAGGGATGTTTCTTTTTCCCTTGATGGAAGAGTATGTTTAACACTTCCTCACAGGGCTGTTACGAGAATTAAGTTAAGTAATATATATGAAGCATTAGCAAAATGCTTGGCACGTGTCAGTTGGTGCATGCTTATTTCCTTTCCACTCTTCCATTCACTCATTGTGAGTGCTCAAATTTCAGATCTCCAAGAAAAGTGCTACCACCCTAGTTGTGATCTAATTTTATATTTTTCTACCACCCAGTCTTCTCTCTTCCTCCATTTCTGGGCTCCCAAGCACTATCATACACAGTCTACCTTAGGAACTAATTAGATTAATAGCCACCATTCCCGCCCCCCCACTTAAGCTATATAGTAAGTACATTACATCCATTATTTAATTTAATCTTTCTAACAATCTTAGTAGGTAAGAACTACTATTAGTCCAATTTTATAAATTAGAAAACCAAGGCAAGCAGAGCTCAAAGACAATCATAGCAAATTGCAGAGCAGGATTCAAACTCCACGCCAACTAATTTCTAACCACTGGCGTGCCTTATGGTTGCTAGTTATCTTTTTAGGTCTTACTTACCCAACCAAGTGGTAAGGTTCTTTAGGACAAGAACCTGCCTTTATACATTTTAGTAAAACAATATCTACTATGTATTGAGCATCTACTATGTAACACATAATTTGTATGCATTATTTCTAATCCTCACAACTCTTTTATATATTCTTTTTCCCATTTTACAGATTAGGAAACTAAGGCTCCAAGGAATTAATTAATTTTGCCAACATGGAGACAGGACAAGAATCTGATACAGGTAAGCCTAGTAACCTACCCAGAGATGATAGTTAATAATATTTGTACTTACCAGATGGGAAAGCACAGGGCTATAATCACCCAAACCCTGGTTGTCTCCATCTGGCATGACCCTTACACAATGACAGTGAACGTAGGGGACAGGGAACTGTTGGAGAGCTGTGTCCATCTCTTCCTTTGAGCTAGGCGAAGATAAAAACTGAGAGCTCAGTCCCGGCCTGTGTAGCTATGTTTTTTGGACGGCCTCCTGCAAACCCAAAGATTGCCAGTTGGAGTCCCCGGTCAGGGAACATGCCTGAGTTGTGGCTGGGTCCTGAGTAGCGCCGCTTGAGGAGGGCAGCCTATTGATGTTTCTCTCCCTCTCTTTCTCCCTCACTTTCCCTCTCTCTCTAAAAAGAAAAAGAAAAAAGTTAGAGTTCGCAATAAGCAGAGCCCAAAGGGTTATTGAGGAATTCCTGTGTTCACTCACTGAACATAGGCTATTTCGAGCAAAGTCCCTCATTGGGAGTTTTGTAGTTGATGATGCAGATGATAACACAGAATGTTTTCTATGTGTCAGGTACTGTTTTCAGTGCTTTATGATGATTAACTCATTTAATTTCCAGGTAAGGACTATCCCACAAAACAGTTGAAGAAACCAAAGTACAGAAAGGTTAAAGGATTTCCCCTGAATGACGTGGCTCAGCTGGTTCGAGTGCAGTCCCATAAACGGGAAGGCTGTGGGTTCCATTCCTGGACAGGGCACTTGCCTGGGTTTCAGGCCAGGTCCCAGGTTGGGGGTGTACAAGAGGCAACCTACTGATGTTTCTGTCCCTGTTCTCCTCCCTCCCTTCCCTTCTCTCTAAACAATAAATAAAATCTTAATTTCTTTTTTTTTTTTAAAGCAAGAAAAGAAAGGTTAAAGGATTCTAGCAAGTGGTGGCATTTGGGACACCTGGAATGATTTCAGAGCTTAAGCCTCTCCCGATAACAACGTGAGTCACTGAGTCGATGCCAAATTTTAGGGCAATGAAGGACCAAAAATTCCTGTGGGCTGAGTAGAAAAATTAATTTCAAAGTGTCTGCCTGCCTGCCAACCAACACGTTTCCAACCCTAACTTTCTCCTCTCCCGGCCTCCCCACCCCCTCTGACAGAAGACAGAAAGCCCGAAATGTAGGGGAAAGGTCGCAGTTGTGATTTGGCTCCTCCCTTCCTGCGCGTTCAGTCCCTTTTCTGTGGAGCCTAAGAACCCAGGGACATCCCATCCCGGGTTCTCGCCGAACCAGGCGGGCACGCTGAACAGCCAATCCTAGAGCTCAATGGACCTGCCAAGAGTCGCGGGCCCCCGGGCTTGGGCCCTCTACCCTCTTCCTCTCCAGCAGACAGGCAGTGAAACCACCGTCAGCCTGGCCTTCACGGTGGCTTGAATGTTCCTTCCCAGGACCGTGCTTTCTGAGACCCGCCACTGGGTGCTCTCACGGCAGAACGTCTATAATTTGGGGGGTTGGGAGGGGAGAGCTTAGTAAGGCTTCCCAGCCCCCAGATCTGGGCATAAGGCTGGACTAGGACGTCCTAGCTCTTTGGTTCAATCTGAAGGTATTAAAAATTTCCAATGGCTAGATTTTAAATTAAAAAGCAGGCCCAATGAGTGCAAAGTGACATTCGTGGGCAGTTAGGCGCGGACACCGGGGCCGGACAGCAGTGTTTCACATTTCCTTAACGTGACAAACTCTCAAAGAAATCAGAATTTATTCAATTAACCCTCAGGATTTGGAATGAAGGGTGGGGCGGGGATGGCGTCTGGAACCTTGTTATCTCTAGGAAGTGAGACTCCTAGAAAGTCGGCTCTTTATTCCCTGGAATGGAGAAAACTGGGGGTTGGGTTGCGGCGGCGGGTCTGATACGCTCTGCCGATCTGTGCTTTGTTGAAATCTCTGGTGATGAACTCATCCTCCTACGGGACCCGTACGGCATCGCGCCCCATTTGAGAGCCCCTGGATTGGGGCACGTCGGCTGTGTTCCCACCGATTTAGTATGCGGGGGTGGGGTGGGGGGTGAACTTTCCGATTCCTTCCAAAGTTTCCTGCCGCAGAAAAAGCAGCCGAAGTTAACAGACACGCCTAGTCACTGCCGACCTCACTGACTCAGACACGCACGGTGTGTTTTTTCGAACACATCCGACCACGCGCCTAGGGGACTGCCCCGATCACCGACCGCCCTCGGCGGGGGGCGGGGCCGCGTGCGTGCGTGCGGACGTGCGGACGTGCGGCTGAACGCGTGCGTGCAGGCCCGAGTGCGCGTGTGCGGGCGGGGGGCTGGACTGCGGCTTTAAGTGGGCGGTGCGGGAGGCCTGAATATACCTTCTGCTGCTGACTGTGCTTTTGTCTTCTGAGCGCGGTCCGGGGAGCGACCTCGTCCTCTCGTTGGCGGACTTTCCTCCTGACTCCTGCGCGACCTGCTGTTACAGCGAGCGGGCTACTCCCGGCCCTTCCACTGCAGGTGAGCGGCCCTCTGGGCTTCCCCGGTTCCCCACCCTCCGGCCTGCGTGCCTGGTCCGTCGCCTCTCCTTCCCCTGTGGCTGAGCCTCCTGGAGCGTCCCTCCTCGCTCCTCCCCCACCCGGGTCCCCACTCAGCCTCTCCAGCCCTGATTTCTGCAGGAGTGGCCCACTCCCTGCTCGCCATGTTGGGTTAGGCGTCCATGCCCTACCCTACGAAAGCACTCTAGCTTCTCCTTCCTATCCCGGCACTTGGCATGTTGTGTGCGTAGTAACTGCCTGTGTTCTTACCTGTTGTCCCTAGACTGTCAGCCCCAAGAGCTCAGGTTTCTTGTCTTCAGGGTCCCATGTGGCCCTAGAACCTTCCAGGATGCTTAACACATTGTGGATAATCAGACTTTGACTCTCTTGGAATTATTTTGACCTTCAGGGAGTTTATGATTAACTTGAACCTGAATGAGATGTGAGGGAGACTTCCCAGGCAGGTTGCTCTCTCAAGGGCATGTTCTTATAGTCCTGCTCCTCGGAACAAAAGCACTCGGTCTTTACTTACGGAAGGTTTCTGGTCCCTGGACTGTAGCATAGGGATTGTGCATGGCACCTGGCAGAAGTAGTAATGGTTTTTACTTTAAAAAGAAAGAAAAGTTTTAAGGCATATTCATGAAAAAAAGTAAGACTGGCTCCTCAGCCATGGCGTTTACAGTGTAAATATAGTTAAACTTCTGCTGTGGAAAAACATCCATGGGCCCCTGTACCCATGGCTGGCTGGGTCGCTCCCTTAGCTACGTGGGAAGATAGAAGGGTCAGGGCCAGATGTGTGCATATCCCAAAAGGCTCTAGACTAACCTTGCTTCTCTTTCTCAGGATCCAGAGACCTTCCAGAAGCAGAAGGCAGCTCTAGACTGCTGTACAAAGGAGTGGGATCTTTTCAGCTATGAAATATATGTTGAACCTGTATATCTTAGGTGTGGTGCTGACCCTACTTTCCATCTTTGTGAGACTGATGGAGTCACTAGAGGGCCTACTGGAGAGCGCATCGCCTGGGAGCTTCTGGGCCACCAGAGGTCAACTAGCCAGCACAGAACCCCCAAGAGCCTTCCAGAACATCCATCCAGAGGGATATGATAAGACTTCCCTCCACCAGCTATAACCTTGGAACAGTGGCCTAAATCTGTCCAGCCAGATGTCCAGTTCCTGGTAGGCAAGCTCAGCATCAATGTTACCAGAGAAGTAGAGAAGTAACCGTGACTGGCCATTGAAGGGCCCACCTCCGTCTGGATGCTTGACCTGGAAAAAGAGCCTGTTTAATAGGTGTGAATGGGTGGCCTGCGGCTGTGGGGTGGAGTGGTTTCACTCTTCTTCCCAGAGTCGACCATATGCTTTGTTGTCCTTGACAGCATGGCTCTGATCTCTCTTAGATGAGAGCCTGTGCGGCAACTTCAGCTGTTGAGAGATGATGGCGTTTTCAGCCCTACTTCCTAAACATCTGCCAGGAGTTCCTTTGGATTCAGGGGGCTTATGGTCAGTTTCTTTGGTGTTCAGCTTCTCTTTCATGTGAGCTTCTCCGTGTGTGCATAACAGTTGAAGAGGTATGTGAGTTGGCTGTAGGGAGGAGGAGGATAGTGTTCAGTGTCCAGTTCTCGCTGTTTTACATTTGTAAGTCCTTCCTCCAACATAATGTGTATGTGTGTGTATTGATCTGATTGGGGACAGTGGGGATGACAAAGCCTGCTCAGGATGTGGGCATTATAGCCACCATGTGGCTTAAGTGAAGTTTTCTAATGAAATAAAGGTGAATGTATATTTCCAATCTGTGTCATGTTGACTTTTGCCCTTGAAATTAGTGGTTAGGGAAGAGCCCTTAACTTGTGGATCTGGGGTTTAACATTTTAAAACTTTAGGGCACAAAAGTGCTCAAAACACTTTGTTTAAAATAACGTAAAGGTCCCTGGCTGGTATGGCTCAGTGGATTGAGTGCTGATGTTTCTCTCCCTCTCTCTCTCCATCTCTTCCCCTCTCTCTAAAAATAAACAAATAAAATCTTTAAAAAAGTAAAACAAGGTAAAGGAACCTCTGAATTTGGAGGCAGAGCAGAGTGCTCTGTCTGAATCCACAACTGCCTGAGTTTGGCCAAGGTTGTTAACAGTCCTATGTTGACTCTGTCCATTTCTGAAGAGAAATAATAGTTTCTTCCAGTTCTTTTCATCATCAGTCTCTGAGGAAAACAAAGCTACGTAGTGCACAAGGCCTTGGCTTTTTTCTTTAGGTTTTTTTGGGTTTTTGTTTTAGTTTTTTAAAAATTGATTTTAGAGAGGAGTGGGTGGAGGGAAGAGAGAAACATTGATTTGTTGTTCTACTTATGCATTCATTGGTGGATCCTCGTATATTCCCTGGCCAGGGATCAAACCCTCAACCTTGGTAAATGGGGACGACGCCCTGACCAACAAGCAGCCAGAGCCTGGCCTTGCCTTTTTTATTCTGTACTCTTATCCATCAGAATAACTACTCAGTTCTGATTGTTCTCCAGATAGGCTGGTAAAATATTCAGGCCTCAGATGATTGTTTCTGCTCTTTCCCAGGTCTAAGCAGCTTTCCGTTTTTCTTGGTATCCATCATTCTATCCCCTCCCCCTGGTGAAGCATGTTCACTACTCTGCCTGAGGTAATAGAGGCATATCTCAACCATACTGCAGGTTGGGTTCCAAGTCACTGCAATAAAGCAAGTCACATGAATTTATTGCTTTCCCACTGCATATGAAAGTCATGTTTACACGATACTGCAGTCTTATTAAATGTAAGCATTATGTCTAGAAAACAATGTATACCTTAATTAAAAAATATTGCTAAAAAATGCATCCTTTATCTGAGCCTTTAGTCATAATTTTTTTTATTGGTAGAGGGTCTTTCCTCGAAGTTGAAAACATCTGTGAAGTGCAATATGAGGTATGCCTGTACATCTATGCATACTCTCATCTTGGCGTGCACGTTAATTTACATATGGTGAATTTGATTTACTTTTGCCAAAGGGTAAAAGTAGAGTATAGTATTTCCGGCTAAACCAGCTTTGCTTCCTGAGAGTTCTTAAGCTTAAGTGCCACTACCCTAGAAATCAGTGGTTTGGGAAAATATTTGTTGTACTGTGGTAGTCATTAGTGCTGTTCATAAAGTATTTCCAACTTAACAGTCTTCTGGTCCCTGGTCCTTTGTGATCAGCTGGGCTTATATGATTCATCTTTTGGTAGTATAGTACTTAAAAGTATAGTTGGCTCTTTCTCTCTGATGTCAGGCAATTTCATGTGCCAGTAGCTATCCTTTTCTAGACATATTACTTGAATTTGATACATTTTCTCACTCAGATGCCTCTCATTCGAGGTATTTTGAACTTTAAACTGGAGAGCTTCACCTTAAGTCTCTTCCCCAAGCAACTGAGTTTAATTGAAATGGTTTAAGGGTGCCACAGCCTTAGCAAGGCCTTTGCTCTCTCTACAACAGTCTGCTCAGAATTTTCATTTGCAGATGTAATGGCCATACCATTGCTTTAATCTTTCCTGTAAATAGTTGTCTCTGTTTGCCTAGCCAGGGGCACTTCCTGGGATGCAGGACTCGTGCTAAAACTGGGACACTTCTGAGCAAACCAGGACAGTCACCCTGCCTACACAGCTGAGTTTGCATTGGTGTTTGTCATTCCAAACATTTCTCAATTTTACCCCTTACCAGTTAGGGTTGAGAAGCAGTTGATCCTGTGAACCCTGCAAGCTCACGGATTTCAGCAGTCTCTCTAGATCCCTTGTGTCTGCCAACAAGCTAGCCAGTTTTTCTCTTAGCTCATTTTGTGGGGCTTTGTCAATAGCTACCAACAGTATTCAAGCTGCCAATCTGTTCTCTGACTCTCCTAACTTGGGATAAACTAGATTAAGGTATGTCTTCTAAGTTACTGCAGGGAGCAGTTTTACCAAATATTCTGCTGCTGTATAACATGGGCTGCTATCCTTCCAGCCTCCAATGAGATCTCTTGCTACCTTCCAAATAAGTTAATGTTACACATACTAGGTGTTTTTGGGGGGGGTGGGGGGGAGGGGTTGGTTGGTTTTTTAGGTATGCAACACTGCCCCCTAGATTCCAATCTCTTATCAGTCAAAAACACATTAGGTTAGGTTATGTTGTAGCAACAACCCTAAAATCTCAGTAGCTTGAAACAACAGTTGCCTAAGCATGCACTCCTGGGAAACAGAATGGAAGGCTAATCACGGGAATTCCTTTCACTTCCATCACATCTGCTCAGTGGAACATTATAGGCACTAGGCTGCTGTGTCCCGCATCCTTCCCTATTTCCCCTTACTGCATTTATTCTGTCCATATTCCACCATTATATATTAGGTGTGTGGGGCACCTGGCTTGTCTCTTAGTCTGTATATCTACAGCTCAAACCACATCTGAAACTTGTCTAGAAACTATTGTGCATCACTCAGATTCTCGATGTGGCTGAACAGAATCCTTGGGTTGTCTCCTTTGGGGGATGCGTGGTGAATGTGTCCCACCTGCAGGAGCAATAGTGAGCTCAATGATTATTGACTAGTAGGCCGTTAGTGGTGGTCATTAATGTTCTCCGAGTGTTTCTGCCCTTGCCTTCCAGGCACGTGACAGAATTGCACTTCTGATCCCTTTGTGGTTAGATGGGGCCATGAATTATTTCTGGCCAGAGCATATAAGCACTGGTTCAAAACCAAAAACCTTTTTTCCTCCTGCCACAGTAACCAGCAGTGCACCAAAAGGAACTGTTCCATTAGTGTAGGTACCGGAGCAGGCGTACGACGGAAGAGAGCCCTCAACTGATCCCTAGTGAACATGGGGTGTAAGTGAGAGATAAACCTTTGTTGTGTTAAGCTACTAAGGTTAAGGGTTTTTTATTGTTTACTGCAGCGTAACTGGGCCTATCCTGATTGATACACTGCTTACAGTGCCTACTGGTACCAGGCATTGACTAAGATCTCATCACTCCCTACCTCAGATGGCATCCATAAGATAATAGGGAGAGAGGCATGTAAACAAATAACATTTTTTGATTCTATAATAGAATATGTGTATAGGACAGTGCCGGCAGAAGGTGAAAGTTAAGGGAAAGCATCTTAGAGGATCTGAATTTTTAAAAATGAGTAGGGATCAAATTAGTGAAGAGTTTCCCAGTGGAGCAACCAGTGAACAAGGGCATGGAGGTGAGCCTACGCACAGCACACTTAGAAAATTCTGAGTGTGAACTTCACATTTATATTGACTGTTAATTGAGGTCTTAACTCCGGTGCCACCTTGTCATTTTACTGCAGAGGAAACAGAAAGAAACTCAGCGACATAGACAATATCTCTGGACTAACTGGTCCATTCCCAGTATGCAGCCCTTTTTTCAGCCTCATGATTTTTTTTTTCTTTTCCATGGACTCTTCAAAGTGCAATGTAACAAAATATGTCAATAATGAGCTCTTTCACCCCTGGGGTAATTTTTATGGAGGCACCAGTCAGTTACAGAGCAAGTTTGTGAGGGGGAGGGGCCAAGGCTGTGGATTCCCGGAGAGCCTCCTTGCTGCCCTGGCATAACCTTGAGAGAGTCATTTTCCTTATGTCCCTGGGGAGAGTGAGTGAAAAATGACATAGGCTTCATTACTGCTAGTTTGTAGCGAGTAAGAAAAAGGAGAGAAAAGCCTTGTTTCTTCCTAATTTTCCTTCCCTCTTTTTTTCCTTCCCTGTTGTTGCCATCACATTCCTGATGTCATTCACTCCTGCCATTGTGAGCCGGCAGGCGGGCCCTGCTGGCCTGGACGGCAGCCTGCAACCCAAGGGGAGGGGGGTGCTGTGGAGGTAGGGGGTGGGGGGCACTAGTCTACCAACACCTTGGAGTGGGGCTGGGTCTGCGTGGAGCCTCAGGGATGTTCCCCAGCCCATTCTTCCCAAGATCCAATGAGCAAAATTAGGGGCCTCCCTCCTGAGGTCAGGGTACCGGGCCCTGGAGTGGCACTTGGGGTGGAAGATGGCCTTCTTTGTCAACTGATTCATTCTCCGGAATTCAACTTGTTTCCCGACTCGACAGTGTTTGAAAGTAACTTTATCCAGGTACCCTTTTTTTCCCTTTCAAAAACCTGTTCCCATGGGGTCCAAAAATGCTGTGGCCTTTTAAAGCCTTGGGGAGGAGAAAGAAGCCATTCCGGCCAGAGAAACCAGAGGATCTGGGTCTCAAGTTTACCCGTGTATGCCAAGAGCATTATGGGGTTTTCCTCACTCTTCTCCCTTTCTGGAACTTTCTTCACATAATCTCCCTTACAGACCATTAGAAACCTGTGCTGGCTTCTTCTGCCCGAGGATGGAAGAATAAAGTTTCAGTGCCACTCAGCTTGTTCTTACCAGTGCATCCTTTTAGAGTTCGATGATGCAGAGGACATGAAGGGCAACATGGTGTTCCTGTTGCCATGAGCTTGTCCATTTGGGGAGAGTCAAAAAAAGGGCAATGCAGGTCATGGCCCACCCCAGTGTGCCACACGCATGTAAGAATCACAGATGCTCTGAGCTCGTCACCGGGTGGAAGTGGCTTTCCGGCACCTGTATCCTGCCATTCTTGTCTTCTGCTTCCCTGACCCAAGTACTGGGGACTGATTTCTAGGTCACTAAGCCCGGGAACTGGATGAATGTCAATGAGGAGCTGGCCACCGTGATCCTTGGAGTAACCTCCACGGTGCCCTCCTTGCCACTCCCCAACATCCTCTTGATGGCCAACGTCACCTGGTCCCAAGGTCAGCTTTCCGCCTGTAGCACACCCGACTGTGCCCCAGTCATCACCCTCAGCAGGTAAAGAAGGGCCTCGGGGAGGGGCCCCAAGGGGTGGGATGACAGGCGCGCTGTTTCGCAGCTGGGCTTTAGATGAAAAGGGAGAACAGTGTTCCTTAGGGTACAGACTATGCAGAACCTCATCCATTCATTTAGCAAGTATTTATTCAGTATCTACATGCACCAAGCACTGAGCTTGGTGCTCTGGGTAGAATATCAGTCTGTTTCAGCCTAGTTTTTGAGGATCTTGGCTTTCTTTTTAATTTTGTCAATATAGACTGGGGGGGGGGGATGGTAAAAAAAAGAAAAGGTGAGGTGCATGAAAGTCAAATGGAATTATGAGGTGTTGAAATTCTTAAAAAATGCTGGGTGTACAGGAGACATCCACCTTTCTTACTCTTTCACAGAATTAATCAGGATACAGGGCAAAGGGGATCTGGGACTGGAGTCAGAAAACTTTAGTCCCATTTCCCACTTAGATCTACACTTGGGCAAATCTCTTAGCTTCCCTGAGCATCACTTTCAAAATCTGTAAAATGGAATTAATACTACTTACCTTTCCTTCATCAATTGGTGGTTGTGAGGATTACAAGAGATATTCTATACAAATTATCAGCTTTCGTTATTGATGTGGGCAGATTAATTACTAAGGCCCTGAAAATCAGGGAAGAGTAGGGCTTTGTAATCACTCCACTCTCGGCCCACAAGCCCTCTCCCTTGCGCATCCGCCAGGCAGAGGTGGAAGCCCAGTGAGGGTGGACTGCGCCCGAGGTGGGCACAGCGTGGTTGCTTCACACCCTGGGCTCCTCCACTATGGGAATCCTGATTGTGCCCAGGATTCTCCCCCTGAAGTTTGTGGAGCTACAGATCTGTGACCGGCTCCAGCGCATCCTGCGGATTAGGACAGTGACGGAAAAGATCTACTACCTGAAGCTCCACGAGAAACACCCAGAGGCTGTGTTTCAATTTTGGATCCGCTTGGTGACAATTCTGCAGAAAGGTCTGTCCATCACCACCAAGGACCCGAGAATCCAGTTCACGCACTGCCTGGTGCCCAAGATATCCAGCAGCCCCACTGACGCAGCAGTAAGCGGGGCCCTCCCGCCGAGATCTCCCGGGGGCGGGGGATGGGGACCGGAGGCATAGCGCCTCCCCTCGTGAGCGCTGGTGGATATTAAAGCCCAGTGTCCTGGGGGGATGAGAAGACTTCATTTTCAAAGGTCACTGATATACACACGCCAATGAAAGCAAATTAGTTTTTCTTAAGAAAGAGCTATGAGGTATTTAACTCACTTAAAAGTGTTCCTTTTTTTTTTTTTAGTATCATGAAGGGATAATGCTCACTGAGGGAAATCAGGAAATTACAGAAAAATCACCCCATTTTTCTTCAGCCCCAAGCAATCACTTGGAACATCTGGCATATCTCCTTTTAGTCTGTTATTTTAAATTAATGTTTACCTGATATATTTGAGGACATTATATACATATACATCTCTGAATATTGCTTTTTTCAACTTAGATCATATCATAAACATTTTTCTGTTAAACTATTTTTCAATGACAGTTGACATTCAATATTATATTAGTTTTAGGTGTACAGTATAGTGGTTAGATGTTTATATAACGTAAGTGCTGCCCTGAATAAGTCTAGTACCCCTGGCATCATACATATTAATGGTAATATTATTGAATTTATTTCCATTGCTGTGCATTACATCCTCATGACTATTCTGTAACTGTCAATTTGAATTTTCTTTTAAGATTTTATTTTTTTAGAAAGAGAGGGAGAGAAACATTGGTGCAAGAGATGTCGAGTGGTTGCCTCTCACATGCCCCCAACTGGGGACCTGGCCCAAAACCCAGGCATGTGCCCTGACTGGGAATCGAACCAGCAACCCTTTGGTCTGCAGGCCAGCACTCCATCCGCTGAGCAACACCAGCCAGGGCTCAAGATGCAGGATGTACTTCTTGATCCCTTCACCTTCTCACTCAGCTGCCTCACTCCCTTCCCATCTGGCAATCATCCATTTGTCCTCTGTACCTATGAGTTTGTTTCTTTTTTTAAATCTAAATTTATTTTTATTTATTTTTTATTATATTTTTTCCATTACCATTTACCCCCCTATACCCTTATCCACCCCTGCAATCACCACAATGTTGTCCATGTCCATGAGTCCTTTTTTCTTTTTCCTCGATCCCTCCACGACCATATAAGTTTTCCTGTTTTCATTGTTTATTTGTTTTTTTAGAATCCACATATACATGAAATCATATGGTATTTGTCTTTCTCTGTCTGACCTATCTCACTGAGCATAATACCCTCTAGGTCCATCCATGTTGTCGCAAATGCTAAGATCTCGTTCTTTTTTTATGGCCCAGTAGTATTCCAGCAAGTATCCAGCCATGTGATGAAAAATAGAGACATTTATTGAAGAAGATAAAAGAAACATTGTACCTGTGTACCTAGGACAATGACTCCTCAAGTCCCCTTCAAAGTTACGACCTTTCTTGAGGAAATCTGGTTCATTGATAGTGGTTTGAATCCAGTCATTAGCAACTGCAGCATGATGTTCCTTCTGCTCTGGTGGCAGAAGCTATGGAACAAATTTTGCCATGACTCATTTCATGCCAAGATCCTCAGTCAAAATCTTGGACACAGTAGTTTTTGGAATCCCCGGATCAGCTTCTAGTTCTTGCACAGTCAGTCACTGATCTTTGTTGACTGCAGCCTGTACACGTTCACCATTCTCAGGTGTTCTGCCTGTTGCAGGCCTTTCAGAATGTGGATCACTTTCAACAGATTCTTGACCATCTTTGAAGCATTTGTGCCACACTTTTATTTGCGCTTTACTTACTGCATTGTCTCCAAAAGGCTTCTGAATCATCCAAATAGTTTCTGCAGAGGAATGTTCAAGCATAATGCCAAATTTGATGCATATTTGTTGATCTACTTGCATTCAGTCATTTTGAATGCGATGGCCACACGGTGCACATGCTCACTCAACAGTTTCTACTGCCCCCACTGACGAGAACAGTGAAGTTGTCATTCATGCATGTGCATTCCAGTTCACTCTCCTTGGCTGCCAGGTTACATCAGTGTCTCGCAAACCATTCTTATTGTATTAACAATGGCTGGACTTTTTCCTAACAGACCTCGTACATGTACCACATCTTCTTTATCCAACCATCTGTCTATGGACACTTAGGTTGTTTTCATATTTTGGCTATTGCATATGAAATATCCTTCTTAGTCATTTGTTACAGTTTTTGTTTTAAAGTCTCTTTTGTCTGATGTGAGTATTGCTACCCCAGCTTTTTTTGTTTGTTTGTTTTGGTTTTCATTTTTATGAAATGTCTTTTTCCATCTCTTTACTCTCAGTCTGTGTATCTCTCAATCTGAGGTCAGTCTTTGTAGGCAGCATGTGTGTAGATCTTGTTTTCTTCTCCCACTTTAGCCACTTTACATCTTTTGATTGGAGGATTTACACTTAAACTAATTGTTGATAGGTATGTAGATATTGCCATTATTAACATTTTATTTTCCTTGCCCTAGGAGATATATCAGCAAAAATATTACTCCATGGGATGTCTGAAATTTTCCTGCCTGTGTTTCCCTCTAGGACTTTTATGGTATCACGACTTATATCCATTTTGAGTTTATTCTGGTGTATGGTGTAAGTTGGTGGTCTAGTATGCATCAAGAATTTTAATCACAAGTTTTTGCACTATTTCCCCTAAAGATTTGCTTTTCCAGTTCAGCTTAAGACTTTATTTTTCCCCTGACACACAGTAGGCTTTCACAGAACCGGCTAAGGATAAAAGCACAGGAAAGAAAAGCTTGATAGATCGAATTGCCTAAACCCTTCAGGTCTCAGACTCTTACACATTTTCCTCCATCCGTGTAAGCTGTGTGTTTTAGGTATGCCACCACCGACTGCAAAAGTCAGCTTTTATAGTTCTTAGTGCTCTGGTTCCTAAGGTTCACACCTGATACTTGGAGCAGAGTATCAACAGCAGCCCAGCAGAGAGTGGAGGTGATCCTGCCTGAGGCCTTGTTTTTTTGTCTCATAATTCTGGGGCTTGATGTTTAAGGGACAGGCTCCCAGGACTAGGCTGGAAGACTCAAGTCAGTTCCTTCATAGTTCTGGCCGGAGGAGGCCAAGAATTATCAGGGAGCAGACTTGGCCATAACTGACTCTCAATTTCCCCGTCCAGCCCGAAAGCAGCCTCCCGTCGTCCTCTCAGCCCAGTGAAAACTTCATGCTGTTGGAAGCCGAGCGGACCAGCGGCTGTTTCTCCCATTTCTCAGGAAGATCTCAGCTCACAGCGGACAGGTGAGTCCTCCGTGCTGCAGCCAACTCCAGCACCCCTTCCCGCAGCGGGTGTGGGTGGAGTCGGTGACACCTTCTGCAAACCTCTCTCAGTTCTTTGCTTTTAAATTCTAGATAGTTATGTATAGGACTTTCCTCTCAGTGTTATTGTAAGTCAGTCTGTGAAAACTGTGCCTGATTGAACGGAATATTCTAGGCAGTGTAAAAACACTGGGTACCCAGTGTTTTTAGTTTATTTTAAAGTTTTTATTAGTTGACTTTTTAATTGTATTTCTCCATTACCATTTATCCCCCTTATACCCTCTTCCACCTCCACTCATCGCCCTCCCTGCCCCGCCCCCTTGCTCACTACACTGGGCCCAGTGTTTTCCCATGGAACGTGCTCAGTAGAAGGAACTAAGTTAAGCTAATAAAGCAGATTTGTGGAGCGAGATGTTGACTGTCTTCATTCCCAACTCGCAAGGGTCCCTTGAGTAAACAACCCTGAGTTCTCTTTGCCTGTCATCTACTTCTTCCTTACAATAGAAGAGACAGTAACCCAGAGGGGAGACCACTGCTGGCGCCAGTTTTACTAGCTTTCTCAGTAATTGGGGTAGACTCTTTCTGTAATGAGTGACAGAAATCCAGAGCAAGGCCATGCAGCCAATACATTGAACAAGTTCAACTTTTGGGTATCATCTAAATACAAAATTTTTCCTTCCTTTTTAATTATTTCTGTGGAGAAATTTTCCTCTTGCTTCTGAATAAAAACTTGTTTTCTGGATGGGGCCCATAGCATATGGACTTCTTCTTAGAATATGAAAGGTCCTTTGGCCCATTTAAATAACAAACACAACATCGGTGCCTAAAAATTGTCAAAACTCTGAACAGATCACATCTCCCTTCCCTCAGCCTGGTCCCACGTTAACATGGTCCCTCATGGCGAGGTCTGGGTTGTCACTCCTTCTCTCTTTCTGTTTCCTAAATTTAAAGCTCATTTTTTCTCTTAGGCACTTTCCTGGGTTCTTTGAAATCCCCTACCTGCTCCCCTGAGTGCAGCTCTCGTGATTCTGTGAGAACCTCCTTTCTTTTGGCCACCACCCCCCTCAGGCCCTGGCTCTGCAGGAGTTGGAGCTACCCAGGCACTAGCTGTCAAGAGTCCCCTCATCCCCTATGGGACTCCTCCTGGGTAGGGTTTATAATGGCTCCAGGCTGGTTCTTGTTCTCTCTCTGCCTCTGGAGCTGCCTGTGTCGGGTCCTCAGGTAATTTCCTCCCAGAATTTGACTGGCCATTGGAGAGGAGGAGGGAGCAGCTTCATTTCACCACCAGAGAAACCAGTTCTCCCATCTCTTCTGCCCTCGATGTTTCATGGGCAGGCACTTTACCCACCTACTGAGTCTCCCAGCCCCCAGGGACCACAGCTGAAGCTCTCTGGGTGGTCCCAGGAAGCCCCTCTCTATCAGCTTGAGGGGAAAGAGGCAGCAGCTCATACAGAGGACTCTGCACACATCCGCTCTCTCAGTGCTTTCAGTCTCACTCAGGGTCCAGTGGTGGCCATGCTGACTCAATTCTCCCACATCATGGTCTGCCTTCATATGTACTTACCAGATCTTTTTCTCTTTTCTAATTTCAAGATAGTTTCTTAAATTGTAATGTAAAATTTTCTTCTTTGGGTACTCTGACGATTTGTATGTTGGATCATCTTTGTCTAACAGGTATGTCATTTTCTTTTTTTTTTAAATTGATTTTTAGAGAAAGAGAGAGAGAAAGGAGGAGAGAGAGAGAGAGACGTTGATGTGTTGTTCCACTTACTTATGCATTCATTCGGTGATTCTTCTATGTGCCCCGATCGGGATCAAACCCACAACCTTGGCATACTGGGACGATGCTCTAACCAACTAAGCTACCCGACCAGGGTCTTTTTATTCTTTAAACTTTCCTTCTTTTATCCTTCTATGTCTCTTTTAAGGCATTATGTGCTTTGCTTGTTTGCTCTCATGTTCTTTCTGGTTAGGCTTTCTTTAGGAAATAATGATTGTTTCTTTTTAAAATGTCTAAGTGTTTTCTCAGTTTGCTTACCACATGTATAAAATATTAAAATTTTGACTTATGTTGTTCTTTCATATATTCTATCAGTTTCTTAATTTCTTTTAGCTTATTCTGAAATGCTGCATTGCAGTTTGAAATGCTGGGGTGCAATAAAAGTGTGCTTTTATTGTCGGCAAGAATTTATTATGCTTCATATCTTTTCTTATATAATTTTGTGTGGAGTTTGATTATGAACCTTTTCTGATGCAGTTTATTTTTACATGAAATGTTTTTTCTCAACCTTTGAGAATGACAGACGGGTCAGACTAGCTTTCTGCTTTTGGCTCTAGTGCTCCCTCTTGTGTCGTTTTTGTGAAGTGTTAATGACCTTCCCAGTCTGTGTTCCTCTCTTTAGCTGACCTTGCTCTTTTCTTTGCCTCTATTGTTCCCGTCCTCCTCAACCTGGATTCCATTTTCAGTTGTTTTTCCCCACTGGGAGGCTGTGTCCTGCAAGGAAGTACATTCTGATGATTTTGAGAGTTCATAAGACACATCCTGCTGCAGCCCCTTCAGACTTTACCACAGAAGGATCCTTTGCACTTACTTCCCGATTCCTTCCTCTCAGACTGGCCTGCTGCACTTTTCACTGACAATCTGTGGGAGATTTAAGAACATCAGGTGCCCTGTTGCCTCTCTCTGCTTCCTCTCACACAGATACCGATACTGTCTGGGTCTTGCAGCTGTCTGTGGCTGTCATTTTTTTAAAAGATGTTTTCATTTCTTAGATTTATTTTAAATCTTCATCTGAAGATTTTTATTGACTTTAGAGCAAGAGGAAGTGGGAGATAGAGAGAAATCAATGCAAAAGAGGAACATCAATTGGCTGCCTCCCGAACACACCTCGACTAGGGACCAAACCCGCAACCTTGGTGTGTCCTGACCAGGGATCAAACCTGCAACCTAGGTATGTGTCCTGACCAGGGATCAAACCCGCAGCCCTTTGGTGTACAGGATGGTGCTGCAACCACCTGAGCTGCCTGGCCAGAGCTGTAGCTGTCATTTTTTTTATCATGAGCGTATTATCTCAGATAGGCCTTCATCTGCGGGACTCATGTGGGCCTGAACTGGGGGCGAGGGGGTTTGCTTCTATCAAGTACCTCAGAGATACTACTGACTCAGGGGAAATTTTTTATATTAGTTTTTCAGTTTGGGAGTTCTTGGACCTGAGGCCAGCATGAAGACAGGCCCATAGGTAAGAATCTTCAGAAGAGGCTTCCCTTTTGACCCAGAATCCCACTTGATATAGATAAGTTTGTGGCACTGGATGGCTTTCTCTCTGGTGTACCCTTTTGCCAAGAATGTGCTTTGAAAGTCCTGGATCTACGCGAATACCTCAATAAACTCCGCACCTGGCCAGAGCCCAAGGTTTTATGTCCTGTGTCACGAAGCCCTGGCTACCAAGATGGTGAGTCCCTCAGGCAGCCCCAGTTTCAGTTCTCATTTCCTTGGTCTTTATTTTTTTGGCCTCTAATTTTTCTTTACTTTTTGTGAGTTCAACAATGTATTTAAAATTATGTTAACTGTATTTTATCTCAATTTCTAGGTGTTTTATGGCAAAGAGGTTGCTTTTTTTAGGTTATTCAACCACATTGCCAATCTCTACCTAAGTAACTCAAAAATTTACACTTAAAAAAATTTATTTTCACATAGTTACAGTATGAGGCATTTTTATTTTCTTTTTGGTGCTTTTAAAATCGTTCTTATTTATTTTTTTCTTTAAAATAAGTATGTATTTTCCTTGGAATCAAAATTTTAAAAAAATTTAGCCACATTATTTGTTTTCAAAACAAACTAAGTGTTCTGATTTTTTAAAAGTTGTTATTGTTTTGGAGCACTCTGCAGGTTTTCTTTGCACCCACGCTGACTCCAGGCAGGTTATTGTGGGCATCAGGCAGATCCCAGTGGGTTCAGACTTTGCCTTCGAGTCATAACACATTAAATTCTGAACACATAAAAGCAGTAGTTAAGGTGTAGAGCGGTGTCTGTTCCACTTCAGCAGAGCAAGCCTCCGGCTTGGCTTTCTCCATTCCACTTGTAACGGAAGCCCTGGGCCCTATTACTCCGGGTTCTAATGCCTGCCGCCGATAAGGACTATGACTCCCAATGCCAGAGTCTTATGAAAAGGAATAGCTCAGCGCCCCATTACAAATTCATGCTTAGATATGTCATACCGTATATATGTATTGTCACTGCCAATCATTTCCATACTTGCATCTGTGTTCAAGGCACTCATGCTGGAAAAGACATAATTAAGAAGTAGTTCTAAATTAAATTTTTAACAATGCTTTCTTTTTCTTGTATTGTTTTCAGGGACCCCCAAATTCCTGGGTTCCAACAGAAACACAGACACTGCCACTGAAATCAATGATTCCAACAGCTACAGCAAGACGCCCTTGTCAGTGGCATCTCTGGTCAATTGGAATATACCCAGGAGAGCCACCTTGAGTCACAGCCTCTGGGAACAAGAGAATCCAGGTGACTACTCCCCACAGGTTCCTGCAGCCAGGTCCCTAGGAGAGAACTTACGGGGACCGTGACACCTGGCCGAACAGGGTGCTCTTTCAGGCTTCAGTCAGTGCCCTGGCGACAACCTCCCATAATGCTCTTTTCCCCCTGTGGGCCCAATGACCATGGGAGAAGTAAGATGGTGTTTAAAGCAAGGTCCTTCTGTACCTCCACCAATAAACCTCCAAGTGAGTCCCTAATTGTTGTAGGTTGTGCTTTGGGTGGTGGGGAGAGGGGGAGGGTCAGGCGGAGGAGGTGGCTCCAGGGTGGGGAAGGACTGATTAGGAGCAGGAGCTCACTCCTTGGGAGAGTAATTGGGAAAAAGTCCCTTCTGCTCAGTTAAAATCCCCAAGCAGCCACGCGAAACCAAGAAAACCAGTGCAGAGGAAGGGCCTGGCAAGAAATCCAATTCCCTCTTTCAAAGGGAGAAGGGAAAACAGGCAGGGCTGCTCAAAGTCCAGTGTGAAAAAAAAACCCCTAAGAATGATGGCAGCAAACTGGGAAATATCTTTGGGTTGCTTCACCTCAAGCAAGAAATTGTTTTTACTGCCCCACTGTGAAGTAATGAAGGCTTACCCTGGGCCATGCAAGGTTTGGTTGCTAATGAAGACAGGGCTGCTGGTAAGGAAGATGGTGACCACATACCCGGGAAGTCTTCATTGATATGACTCTTCCCACCAGGAACTGATGAAAACAAACTGGAAGACACCATGTCTGTGCATATTAGGGACAGGGCAGGGGCTTTGGCCAACCTCTGGACAAGTGGGGAGTATTTAGGTGGAAAATACTACCTTAACACTGAGAAAGCATTTACCAAGTTCCTGCTAGGTGCCAGACACTGCTTAATGCTGGGTTTGTTCGAGAGAACAAGGCAGATGGATCAGTTTCCTGCCTTTAGGGAGGGTATAGGAGAAATATCAAGCTCTGTTCTGGAAACAAAGGAAGGACATTTAGGATGACATGGTGTTTGAGTCTGCAAACCAAGGCTGGTGGGCTTGCCTTCCTATGGTTCACACTATAGGAAAGAGGGTTATAGAGGGAGAAGGAACATGACGGCCCCTTGTGCGTCCTCAGTTGGTCTGAGTGGTAAATCCTGGCTAGACTGGGTCAGAAAAAACATCTGAGCTGAGAGGATCCCTGATTCTTGGGGGTTTCTTCCTGTCTTTCATAAAAATAGAAACAAAACAAATTTCCTTCTCTCATGTTACAATCAAGTAAGCTGAGCATTGCTGGTGCTGCTAAGAGACATTTAGAAGCTGAACTTAGAAAAGCCTAATGGTTTCCAGGTGGGTTTGGCTGGTGAGAGGTACAGATAGGAGATCACAAGGAGAGAGGAATGTGGGGTCTGGGCAATTACTCCCTCATTTGTAGTCACAAAAGGCTGTCTGTGTCCCTTCACAGAAGGAAATTGCTCCTCTCAAGGTGGCTTCTTCTAGCCAACTCTCTCCTAGTTCCACTCACCATCCCCTGCCGTTACCCTGCAGGTCCATTCATTGCATGGGCTTAGCTAACTGGATGCTCCTTCCTGCATTTTCTATCTTGAGCAGAGGCGTCACTCATCGCCAGAAGATGTGACAGTAGGGGCAGCATCCTGACCAGGTGGCTCTGCCTGTGCAACAGTTGCTGGGCTTCCATCCAGGTTATTGCTCCTCTTTTGGCTCCTGCCTATCCCCCCAAGCCTGGTTTCCTTCACTTTCAGGTGTTGCAAAGACCTCCTAACAGCCTTCCAATGCACTCCCTTTGGCTTAGTCTGGCCTGTCACTTCCTGTGTTTACAGCCATAAAGTCTAACTAATGTGGTGCTGTTCCCGGAAAATTGGATGCTGTGTCAGCAAACATGGCAGCCATAGGTGTCTTATTTTGTGCGTGTCCTCCAGTGCCTGGATCCTACTAGACACCCAATCTAAGGTCACGTCTGCCATAGCCAGCTCTCGCTGCCCCCGCACTGTTCCTCCCCTCAAACAAGGGAAGAAACTACAACCTTTGCTGAATGGACTTATCACTGAAATTAATTTCCCAGAAACTATTTCTTGGATGAAATTTCTACCACATAAGAGATTGGTAAACATTTTAATGACCAATAAATTCCTTATTGCAAAGAGAAAAGAAACAAAACATTGTTATCCAGAGTCAATTAGAGCCCACCAGGGCATAACATTTGCAAAAACAATCCGCCCAAACAATGTAGGAATGCATCTTAAAGTTTCTGAAATGGAATTCAGAGAAAATTCCTCAAGGAATAATACTAAATGGACCCACTTAAAAATGTGTGACAGGGTAAGATTAAAGCTTCACAAACGTCCTTAAGTCTTTAAAATAAAAAAACCAGCTGGTCAATTAAGATTAACAGTGTTGATTAACAGCTACGATTAACAGCAGTAGAGGAAGCAGAGAAACTGGGGACACTGAATATGTAGAAATGAGGACCCTGTCCTGCATCTTGGGGGTGCAAGGGATTCACTAACGACCTCTCAGAACCACAGGTCATTGACTTAGAAAACAAAGCATAAGGGGTCTTATCTTCAGCAAGGGCCCTGTTAGGTCACTTTAGCCAGAATCCCCCTTCCTCCTGATGTTTCCTCTTGTCATTTCCCATCTACAGGCCCCTACCCTGCTCCTCAGCTATAAATTCCCACCTGCTGTGCTGTGATGGGAGCAGAGCCCAATCTCTGTCACTGCAAAGTTCCATCACACCTACACCTATCATGACAATAGTCTTCCTTGTCATGCTTAAAAAAAATTCTGCAAGGGTCAATCTTGAGAAAGGCAAGAGTGTGGCTTTCTCAAACCAGAGAAACAATCACAGATAGTGATAAAGCTTCCTAAAATGAGCATTTCCAATGAACGTTTAGAAGCATTAAGGCAAAGGCCACTTACAGGAGCTATAACTTGAAGCAACCAGACACGTAACAATCTAGGGATACTCTAAGAAGGGGAAGGGTAGGTTTTTGCTCTGATTCCTGCCTGACATAGATGTGGTAAATCAATTAATTTCCCCATTGGTGATAAGGATTTTTTTTTATTAAAAATCACTAAAATTTTAATTATCCCCAAACAAAACAGTTTTTGAACGTTGATAGTTGCAATAGTAACTGGAAATACACCACATGTCCATGATATACAAAGAAATATTCATAAATAGTTTGTTCTGAATTGGTTTTAAAGCCCCCTAAAGTCTCCAGTTAAGCACATTGGCTTGCACAAAGATGGAAAGAAATTTCTGTCACATCCATTCCTCCCCTCACGGCCACTGAAAGGTCATATCTAGATGCAAGAAGAATGTGGCGGCTAGTGGTATGGGACTGTCACACACACATACTCAGGGCATGCCATTTGTAAATACTTTGCATTTTTAAAAGTGTCTTTACATCTACACCCTAATGCAATTCTCATTTGTGTGAGAGGGCTGTTATTATCCACTGCGCTTCTGTGGCCCCTGAGAAAGAAGACCTACTGAAAAAGGGCTCCCGGTGGCTAACTGGGCTCCAACAAAACCAGACAAACAAGCAAATCAGAGCCTAGCATCCATTTCTGCACAGGGGCCTCTGACGCAATCCGCACTTCAGAGAGAAGCCTGCAATGAACTGCCTGCCCGCACTGTGTTTCTGTCGCCTGTGCCTGGCCTTATTAAGGAGTTCCTACCATCGTTACAGGGGCGATCTGGCCAGATCGCTAGGCAGAGAGGAGGGACCCCACCGTGGCAGGTCAGGAAGTGCCAGAAGCAGCGGGATGGAAACTGCGGCTGGCACTTGACAGATTTCCACCCGTCTGGGTAAAGGTAAACAACCAGTGCTGCCTGGGAGGCAGCAGGAGAAAGCTTACACTGAGTACACGCGTGGAAAAGGTCACGACAGTGTACCATAAGGTTAACATGGCAGCAGGAGGAGGAGCAGGGATGCTGCGCAGGCTGACAAGCCTGATGGATGCCGTCCTGGACTGCCTGGGAATTTGGAGGCTTCTTCTGTGCGTGAGATTTTGGGCCTGGACTTTTAAAGAGTTTGCATGGAGACGCGCCCCTCGTTTTTCCTTCCCCTCACTGGCTTGGGAGGGTGGGTGGGGGGTGCAAAGTGCTGGTGGGACCTGGTGGGTGCCGGGCCCCACTCACCCGCTTTTCCCTTCTGCTTCCTCACTCACCCGGTTGGGAGCCGACTTACACCAAGGGCGAGTCCCACGCGGGCTGCACCCCACCAGCCCGTGGGACACTGCAGCACCACGCCACATGGGTCTCGGACTGCACCTCTTCTCTTGCTCTGAGACCAACACATGGACACAGGGGCCCGAAGAATTGCCGGCCTGAGGGTGCAAGAAGCAGCGGGCACAGAGATCCACAGACGGAACCCCTTGCAAGACCAACGGTGTGGTCAGCAGCGGCCAGGCGGTGAAAGAGGGAGGGAGCGGCAGCGAGGCAGTGGTGAAGCGGGCCCACAAGTGCGCGCTTCAGGGAGACAGAGCCTGAAGCCAGAGGCTCATTCGAGTAACAGCCTTGGGCCTGAGAGGCGCGGGGGAGAATGGAGGCGGGTGTCTGGACACCGACTCTGCTCCGGGGGTGGCTGGGCTCTTTCTGTTTTGCGAGGAGGTTGGCCCGGAGCCAGGGGATTTCCACTCCCCCAAATTGGGCAACCCTTTAATAAAGACCTTTTCCCTTCCTCATCAACTCTGTTATGCCTGTGTTCAGTGGCAGGCTGCCAAATCCCCTTTTGTTTGGTAGGACCCTGACTGGTGTGACTCAGTGGGTTGGGTACCATCCTGCAAACTCAAGGTTGCCAGTTCGATTCCCAGTCAAGCCACATACCTAGGTTGCAGGTTTGGTCTCTGGTTGAGGGCTGCAAGAAGCAACCCGCTGATGTTTCACTCTCTTTCTCCCTACCTTCCCCTCTTTAAAAATAAATCTAAAAATAAAAATGTAAAGGAGTTCCTGGAATCCTATTTCAACCAATAGGACTGGGACTTTCCCCATCCCATTGGAGCTGTGCCGCTATATCCCCATTAACATTTTCATCAACCAATCACAGTGGCTCCATTCTAACCAATCAGGACAGAGCCTTTTGGACCAATCA